TGTAGGCACTTGTGCTGATGAGAAGAGAAGTCACTCTTGCTTAGCTAGAGTGTTCATGCTGAGTGCAGCTCTGCAGTATATGTGCAATTTGTATCAGAGTTAGTGAATAATGCAATCAAAATTAGACAGGAAATGATGGATGTGTTTTACCTTTCCCTTCGGGCTTTAATCCTCTCCTCATCAAATCTGAAAATGAGTAACACTCATCACTTTTCAGAAACTAGTCATATAATTGTTTTACATTTATTCAAATCAGATCACATTAGACTTGCTCTCTGATAGGTTTATATTAATTATAGTTATTAAAACACAACTGGAGGTTGGGAGTCACTGCTGCAGCTCGTTTTTTCCATCTCATGGTCAGAGAGACTTACTGCACCACACACTCGGGGACGTGGACATGCTCCATGGGGACGATCTCCGCCAGTTCATCCAGACTGTGTACATACTGGATCTTATTCATGAACTTCACACTGTAGAGGACAACGAGACGACAACACAATCACAGTTAAGGGAAATGTCTTTCAAATGTCATGGTGACAAAATAGGACATATTCATTTGTTTCTTTTTAAATTAGTGTTTTATTATTCAGTATCACACATCATCCACTCTGTCACAATGATATTTCACTATGAGACATTACAGGCAGTACACGGAGTCTTAGTTTAAAAGTCTATTTGGAATTAATAAAGAGCGACACATGGAAAGTCTCCATAAGTATGTGCAAATTCCAAGTTAATACAAAATAAAAAGGCTTTTATTTTATCTGGCAAAGATACACTAAAAACATGATATGTGATGATTTGTGAACCCCTGTTCAGTAGTGCATTTTAACTTGTGCAAGTTTTGTGGATTTGTCATTTTGTTTAGCTGGTGGTTTGTGTGTACTACCTGATAAAGGGCCTGGATATTGCCAGGACAGTGCGTATAAACCATGTGGGATGAGCAATGACCAGTGACTTCAGGTTCTTCCTCAGTCTGCCATCACAATACAGAAAACAAGTCAGTTCAGGTAACAGACTTGGTCAGTGTCTGCGTGTGTGGACTTAGAATGTCAGCATTTGTTTTTATACACAAAATATCAATCAATGTTTTAAGGTAGCTTTTCCAAATAATATATTTCTTTCCCTATACGTTCTGTCAATCATGTGGTA